AAATTTTGAACACCACTTGGTCATTTATTGTTACCATAATTCTAAATAAGTTTATTCATACTTAAAAATGATGTAGTTACTTAAAATAAATGTAAATCTTAATGAATAGTAGGAAATATTTAGTTATGTACACTTTTTTTTAAATAAAATTGTTACTATTTTACGATTTTTTTATTTATTTGTATGCATATTTTGTAAAATATTTGCATATTTTCGGGTAAACACGTGCATATTTATGCGCATATTTTCTACATTTTTATTTGCATATTTGCCGAAGTCTAATAATGACTAATATTTGTTATATTCCTAAGCGTGGGTTCTTTTAATCTAAGCTTTTTGTATATTTATACTCAACCGAATAAAAAAGATGGTCCAAAACATTTGTCAAACGATGTTATCGTAGTTCAAGTGGAAATCCAGTCGCAATTGTAGATAAGCTCTCTAAACACAAGTGCACAATTCTGTCCGGTGATTAACAATTGTTTCTTCCCTCCGGTGGGCACGTGCCACCCCATCTGTTTCGTCGGAAGTTTGTGCAGCCAGATGTGTCGGCAGATGTTTAGAAGCCAGAACTGTACCTATATATAACTACTTCCACAGGCGTCGAATGTATTATTTTTAAATTTATGAACGTATCTAATTTCAAATGCTACGTGCAATTTCTAAGACTTCCTAAGCGGATTACCTGGCTGCAAAAATAAGGGAGGAAAATATAGCAGGCAATTGGGAGAAGAGACATATCTATTACGAAATTAATATTACAAAATATATTTAATTTTAGCGAATAAGTAAATTATTTTTGTTTGATTTGACTGCAAACCAAAAGAGTGCATGCACGTGTGCATGAATTGATGTTAAAATAGATACAAATACGAAAGTTTAACTAAGCATATGTCGTAGTAGCTTATATTTTAAAAGAGAGTTAAAAAATACAGAATAGACATCATTGCGATACAAGAAATAAGATGGAAAAAACTGGACAAATAGCAAAAGAAGAATATGTAATTATGTATAGTGGAGATGACAAACAAAGCAAGAATGGAGTGGGATTTTACATAAATAAAAATCTTACAAACAGCATAATAAAGGTTAATTTGATAGACCGGAGGATCGACACTTTTTCTTCTTCTTAGGTTGCCTGTCCGTTCCGAACGTTGGCGATTATTCTGGCTATGATGACTTTATTGGTTGCTATACGAAATAGCTATGTTGAAGTCTTTCTATACCATGCTCTCTGGTTAGCAAGACAGGATATTCTTCTTCGTCCTGGGACCCTTTTTTCTTCAATTTTACCTTGTAAAATACATTGAAGTAGCTCGTACATCTTCATTGGTGACTTTGTCTGTCCATGGTATCTTCAAGATCCTTCTGTATGATCATAGCTCAGAAGCCTGAAGTTTTGATAAAGTTTCCGTCTTCCATGTCCACGTTTCTACTCCGTACAGAAGAACTGAGTACACATAATATTTAAGGAGCCTTATTTTTGTTTCTAGGGTGAGGTCATGTCTCTTGAACACAGAACTCATAGTCAAGAAACTCTTTGCCTTTCCAATGCGACATTTAATCTCTTAGGTATTGTCCCACGACTCATTGATTATAGTTCCCAAGTAGTTGCATTGTGAGACTCATTCAATTCTCATTTGGTTCACATACAGATTTGCTCCAGTTATGTTTTCCTTGCTGATGATCATTATCTTGGTTTTGCTGGTGTTTATATTCAGTCCATATTTTCTACTTGTTTCCATTATTTTGTTCATTAAGTTTGGCAGCCCTTCTATGGTATTAGAAAACACTATTGTATCATCTGCATGCCGCAGGTTATTGAGCTTGACTGCATTTATTGAGATACCTTCATCAATATCTTTTAGAGCCTCTTCAAAAATGTGCTCCGAGTACAGATTAAATATCAGTGGTGAAATTATGCACCCCTGTCTCACTTCCCTTAAGATTTTAACCTGATCTGTATATTCTCCTTCTATTGGGAATACCGCTGATTGATTCCAATGCAGATTAGCTATTATTTTTAAGTCTTTTTCGTCAATCCCTGTCCTTTTCAGCACTTTCATCATTTGTTTGTGTCTGACTCTATCGAAAGCCTTCTTGTAGTCAATCAGGCATGCAAAATCATTACAGCTGACATCTGAACAATTATATGCCTGAAACAATATCTGCACGCTAAATAAAGCTTCCCTCGTACCAATGACGTTCACAAATCCAAACTGATTGGGCGCAATTTGTTCCTCGCATTTCCAGCAAATTCTTTTGTGGATTACTTTTAAAAACAGCTTCAGCAGATAGCCCATTAGGTTTATCGTCCTAAAATCTTTACAAACTTTTGCTCCTGGTTTTTTGTGCAATGGTACGAACTCTGATTTGAGCCACTCTACTGGTATTTTTCCTGCCTTGTATATTTCATTAAATATTTCAGTTATTATTTTTATTTGTTCTTCATCTAATAGCTTCAATAGTTCTGCAGGCATTTCATCAAGTCCCGGTGCCTTTCCATCCTTCATTTGTCTGACGGCTGCCGTTATTTCTTCTGGTTGGATTTCGGGACCAGAATTTTCTTCAATGGTGGGCTCTTGTATTATTCTAAGGTCATGGAAAAGCTTCTCCAAGTATTCTTCCCATACTTTCTTTTTATCTTCTCTGGTTATAGCAAGATTGCTTTCATCATCTGTTGTTTTTCCGCTGTTGCGTTTTCGGAATTTTCCAGCTATTTCCTTCACCTTTTAATCAACATTGAAGATATCATATCGACTCTGATACTCCTCTATTTCTTGACATTATTCTGTTTTTTGTTTCTCTTTGGCTTCTCTTATTTTTCTTCTGACGATGGTATATGTATTCTCTTATGTTCTTGGAGATTTTCTTTGTTTTTTTTCTCTGATTTATGTGTTCAAGTATTTCATCAGTCATCCACGATTTCCGTTTTTCTGTATCTTTCTTCAGGTGTTGTTATTTTATCTCTCTGACTGTTTCTTGTATGATGGTCAGACTTTTCTCTATAGTTCCTGCATTTTTGCATTTTAGCACCTTTGCATTGAGGTTTTCACTCACCTTCAGTCGAACATTGGGATCTTTCAGTTTTCTAACATCATATTTCTTCATCGACTTACTTGTAACCTTCTTCATTCTGACTTTGAAATTACCTACAACTGGTACATGATCGGAATTTATATCTGCCCCCGGGTATGTTTTGACAGATGTACAGCTGTTCCTATACTTCTTATTTACTAGCATGTAATCAATCTGATTTCTTACAATCCTTCCTACAGAGTCCTGTGGAGATTTGCAGGTGTACAGTTTCCTTGGATGTAGCTTAAACCAGGTGTTCATTATTACCAATTAATTTGCTTCCGCAAAAATCTCCAACGTATCTCCCCGATCGTTCCGGTTTCCTAGACCAAATGATCCAACTGCAAATGATGTTTTGTTGGCCCCAACTTTGGCGTTGAAGGCACCCATGGCAATTGTTAGGTCTTGCTTTTTCAACCTTTTCACGACTTAATTAATGCTATAGTGTAGTTCTTCTATTTCTTCTTCTGTTCCTTCTGTTGTATGTGCATACACTTGAATTATATTGATGTCGATTGGTCTTGCTTTTAGTTGTATGAGCATCACTCTTGCTGAGATTGGGATAAAGTTGTCAACAGATGTCGCCACTTATTTTGTCAATATAATGCCGACACCTAATTCATGTTTGCCGTTATCTGTTCCAGATTTGTAAACGCGGTGTTCCCCGATATTTGCGGTTCCTGGACTTGGACAACGCATTTCGCTTATTCCCAGAATGTTTAGTTTCATGTGTGTCATTTCTTATATTGCACTATGGATTTGACCTTCCTGTGCCATGGTTTTCACGTTCCATGTGCCTATTCTGATGTCTTCTTTACATTTGAATTTCGCTGCAAGCATAGCCATTAGATTCTACTAGGACTTATCCAATCCGGATCTTTAATTAGATGTCTTCTCCCAATCTTTTTTCCTCATCTCTATGCCGTTGACCGCTTCCACGGTTCTTCCGCCTTTGAAGCAAGTTTCTTAACTCTAGTTGTCCTCCCATTTACTAGCTCCTCCTCCCGAAGCTGTTGGCCAGTAAACAGAATGCTTATACCGACAATCGCTCGGTGGAATTTTTGTCATATTTGGACCCTCACTTAGTTTAGCCTGCAGACCAACGCAGTTGCCTAGGGTGTGGCACGTGGAGCCATAAGTGAGAGTTAAGTGTCTTATGAGGACCACTTATCAAGAGCCATCTCCCATCTATGACGCTCGTTGTGGTCGTTCCGATAAAAGGTGCTACCTCTATAACACAACTCTACACCCTAGGATCGACACACTGAGACTAAAAATGGAAAAACACTATATAACATTAGAAAATATAGATGCTCCAACTGAAACATCCGATCCAACAGAAAAAGATGAATACTATGAAAAATTAAATAAAGCATACGACGAAATACCAAAAAAAGACATGATATTAATACTGTGAGACGCAAACGCACAACTGGGGAAAGAAGGATACTTGAAATACCTAGTCAGAAACGGAAAAGAACTCTACCCAACAAACAAATGACAATGGCCGCAGAATTTGTCAACTCGCAGCAACACTCAATATGATCAATGATTTTTATATTGTATTTTGAGAGCGACTTCGGAAATGGAAATCGAAACTTTAAAATAAACTTATTTTAAATAAAAAAAAAACAACAAAAAATAGTTAAATAAAATATAAAAATAAATGTATATTAATGGCAGAATATAAAAGCAGTTAACTCTATATTCTCACTTTAAATCGTGCTGTATCTGAATTAATATTTGTATATGAATTAATTATTAAGCCAGTGCATAAAACTTGTGCACTTAGTTAATCTAACTGGCTAGAATAGTGTTTTTGAAATTATGTACCTTTCTATTTTTAATCTGCTCCTTCTCAATTTACGAGCCGACACTGTTTGTAATCAATTCAAAGGAATAATCAATTCAAATCAAAGAAATTCAATTTAAAAATTTTTAATAAAACCTCAGTACAAATTAATGAAACAAAACATAAAACGTTACTTGGTTTTACTACAAGACTAGCAGGCATCACAATATTCACAGCTAAAAATATAAATAAAATTAATTTAAAATTATATTCTATAAATACACTGCGCTTCTTTTGAAGTAAATGTTTTGATTATCCCTATATAGTTTGTTTTAATAATTTTTGGTATTTTTTTTATATATAAAGTTTTAGCAAAATCTAATCTTTCCGTTTGATCTGGCACTTTTTTATTCGGTGATCCCATCCACTAGGTATGGTTCGTCTTAAATGACAGTTTAATGAGAATTATATGAGAATTATATTATGACAAAAAAAAACAAATAAAACGACTACCAAAAGAAGACTATACCTTATCTTCGTTATTACTGAACATATAGTAACATACGGGATATCATATGACAGTATGGATGATAATAGACACACGTGAGTACAAAATAAACAACTGATCGAATCATAAAATGCGACATCGCAAAGGAAAGTGGAGAACATAATAAGTATATTAAGATAGAAAACAGAAACAAGGCGACTACCAAAAGGGCACTATTCAGCATCTTCGTTACTAAAGAACGTATAGCGACATTCAGCCTCTGTCTGAATACAAAATAAATAACTTATCGAATCCTAACGTGCGATATAGCAAATACAAGAGGAAGGTACACCGAATATATTAGGTTATAAAAAACAAACAAGGAGACTGACCTACAAGATATCATAGAGCACTATGGATAAAAATAGATTTTCTATAAGACAAATTTTAATTTATTGACTTAAAGAAGGCCTCTAGCTGAGTACAAAATAAACAACTGATCTAATCGTAACATGCGACATAGTAAATGAAAGAGGAGCAAATAAAAAATATTTTAAGATAGAAAAAAACAATCAGTTTTTAGTGAAGAAACGATGATTTTAGTGAAGTCGCGAACACGATACTATAGCTTATTTTTAGTGTACTGTTTCGTGAGTCCTAAAAAGTTTTATTTTGCATTTTTCATATTCATTCATAATATCGAAATAAATCTGAATAGAATATTTTTGGTGTAACAAAACAAAAGAAGTTTAGTAGAACATGATACATTCTAAAATCCCAATGCGTTAGAATCGAGCCACATTCTAGTAGTAAATAATGGATGCCATCACTGAAAGCACTATTGTAAAACTGTTGTACAATAATATAGACACGACGTACGGCGGAACGCAACGCAGCGTACTGTGTTTATAGGAGAACACCGCCTCAAAAAAATATTTCCGACATACAGTTATTTACCATAATCTAAGAGTTTAACTGCAATATTAAAACTGCAATATCTGGGACATGTCATGAGGGGCGAGCTTTATAACTTATTGCAATTAATAATGCAAGGAAGAATACAGGGTAGAAGGAGTCGCGGAAGAAGACGCATCTCCTGGTTAAACAATTTGAGAGCTTGGTTAAACTGCACTTCTGCTGAATTATTTAGAGCAGCAGTATCGAAAGTGCGAATTGCCATGATGGTTGCCAACCTTCTTAGAGGAGATGGAAGGTGAAGAAGAAGGAGAAGAAGAAGAGAGTTTAACTGCCACAACGATGATGAATATGATGACAAGTTGTTGGAATTATACAATTATCTATAACATTAATACAGTACCTGCTAAACTACTTGATCCTTCCTATTTGTAGATAATAAATAACTAAGTACATATATGTAGGTAATGCTTCTAACAAATAATATTTAAAGAGATATGAAGGGTTAGGATAACGTATACAACCAACTGCAGATAACATGCAGATAAAGACGACGAGGAAGTAGAGACTCTCTACCAAAGCATAGAGGATATATTAGAACGAATACCTAAACATGAAGTCAGCATCATAATGGGGGATTTCAATGCAAAACTTGGAGCAGAACGGAAAACGTCTCTAATTGGACCTTTTGGGTTAGGACAAAGAAACGAAAGAGGTAACAGACTAGAAATATTCGCAGAAGATAACAAGCTCGTGGTTCTGAACACATTTTATAAACTACCACCGAGGAGATTGTATACATGGAAGGCACCAGCAGATAAACCCTATAACGTAATTAGAAACCAGATAGATTATATATTGGTAAATAGAAGATTCAGAAACAGTTTTAAATCTGTCAAAACATATCCAGGAGCGGACATTGAATCTGACCACATACCTTTAGTGGGAGTCATGGATGTGAGACTGAAGACAATAAAGAAAAAGTCTAGACCTAACTACGACATGACAGCCCTGCAACATCCGGAAGTTAAAAAGCAAGTGGGGGAATATTTACAACCAAGCTAAACAACTAAAAGAAGAAAATAACATCCACCGAGAAATCAATCAATTCGAAGAAATAATTAAGAAAACTAAACAAGATCTGCTAAAACCAAACAAAGAAACAAAGAAGAAATCTTGGATGACTCCAGAAATCCTTCACTTAATGGAACGCAGAAGGTTAATTAAAGGAAATAAAGATGAGTATAAAAAACTGCAGGCTTACATCAGAAGAAAAATAAGAGAAGCTAAAGAAAAAGAAGCTAGAAGAGAAAGAGAAGAGAAATGTAAAGAAATAGAAAGACTACAAGCCAAAAAGGTAAAAGAAATAACGGGTACTTTTAAAAAGCGAACACAAATGAAACTCATAGACACCAATGGAAAATTAATCATTGACACCCAAGAAATTAAAGACAAATGGAGAATATATTTGGAGACACTTTTTCAAGATCAAAGAACGGATTATAGGCATCCATTTTCAGAGAGGATCACGGGACCGGACATACTTAAATCCGAGGTAGAAGAAGCAATAAAACGGATGAAAAGCAGAAAAGCTGTAGGGCCTGATAATATCGAAGCTGAATTTTTAAAACTCTTGGAGGAAGAAGGAATAATTTGGATCACGGCTATCTTCAATAAAATATACAATGCAGGAATCATCCCTGATAAATGGCTAGAATCAGAATTCATAGCCATACCTAAAAAACAGGGGGCTAAAAAGTGCGAAGAATATCGAACGATCAGCCTAATGAGCCACATGTTGAAACTGTTTCTTAGAGTCATCCATGGAAGAATTTATAAGAAATGCGAGGAACAAATATCGGACAGACAGTTCGGCTTCATTAACGCAGTGGGTACCAGAGAGGCACTTTTCGGAGTACAGGTACTGATTCAAAGATTCAGGGACGTTAACTGCGACGTATACGCGTGCTTGATCGACTATGAAAAGGCATTTGACAGAGTTCAACATCAAAAGATGATAAACATTTTAAAAGAGGCAGACCTGGATGACAAAGACCTCAGAATAATTTCAGAACTCTACTGGAATCAGACCGCATACATGAAAATTAACGGAGAAGAAACAGATCACATAAAAATACTACGTGGAAATAGACAGGGATGTATCCTATCGCCGTTGATATTTAATATGTACTCAGAGAAAATTTTTAATGAGGCTCTTTACGAAATAGACGAAGGCATCCTTCTAAATGGTGAAAGAGTAAACAATGTTAGATATGCCGACGACACCATGGTGATAGCAGATAGTTTAGAGGGATTTCAGAGGCTAATGGACAGAATAAACGAGTACAGTCAACAGTACGGACTAAACATTAATACTCACAAAACGAAACAAATGAATATCAGCAAGGAGAATATAAACGGGGCTTATCTATACATTAATGGGATGCAGATAGAGCGAGTAAAACAGTATTGTTACCTGGGAACTATTATTAACGAACAGTGGAGCAATTTACAGGAAATAAAGTGCCGCATGGGAAAGACAACAACGGTCTTTAACAAAATGAGCGCCATCTTCAAAAGTCACGACATATCCCTTGATACAAACATGAGACATTTGAGATGCTATGTTTTCTCTGTGTTGTTGTACTGGGCGGAGGCATGGACGCTTACATACACCACTATTAAAAAACTTGAAGCATTTGAGATGTGGCTTTATAGAAGAATGCTGAGAATATCATGGACAGCAAGGATCACGAACAAGGAAGTTCTAGGAAAAATGAAGAAGGAACCAGAAATTGTGTTTACAATCAAACGCATAAAATTGCAATATCTGGGACACGTTATGAGAAATGAGCACCGTTACTCCCTGCTACAGTCTATATTGCAAGGTAAAGTCAACGGTAAGCTAGGACCCGGTAGGAGAATATCATGGCTGCGGAATTTAAGAACATGGTTTAAGAAAACCTCAACGGAGCTGTTTCGAGCCGCAGCGAGCAAGGTTATGATTGCCAATATGATTTCCAACATCCGAAACGGATAGGAACCAGAAGAAGAAGAAGATAGAACCAACTAAATATTATTCTAACAAAAAATATTCCCATTCGACGTTATATTTTTTGTTGCTATTCTACTTCCAGTTTCACCGGAAATACCATTAATTTATTTAATTTAAATAAGATTCCCTGTATATTTTTGCAGATTTTAAAAAGAAAGTTTGGTACAAAAAATTTGTTAAAACGAGAAATAAATTACTTTATTTATAAAGAATATGTAAAATTTATGAATTAATTACTGATCCCAAGGATCTACTTCAACATTGGAGAAATTACACACAGCAACTATACTCAGACAACACTAGAAGAAACTCTGAAAGTGAATATAAAAGTGAAATATTGAAGTAAGAAGTTTTAAGAGCAATCAAGCAGGCCCAGACGACATACACATAGAGGTTCTAACAATGTTAAGTGAAGACAATATAGACGCCTTGGTGGATCTTTTTAATGACATTTGTGGGTCCGGTCAAATACCACAGGATTGGCTTCAATCAATCTTTATACCAATCCCAAAAAAGCCAAACGCTAATAGTTGCCACCAATTCCGAATGATCAGCTTATTGAGCCAGGTCCTAAAACTCTTCCTAAAGATAATTCACACAAGAATATACATCAGATGTGAAAGATACATTAGCTCAACACAGTTCGGTTTCAGGCAAGGATTTGGCACAAGATACAACAAAGCAGATACAACAATGAAATAAAGACTCTCTTCGGGAAAGGAAACATCGTAAGATACATAAAAGCCAATAGATTAAGATGGGCAGGCCACGTGGTACGGAGTGATGACGACAGACTGATTAGCAATGTGTTTTGGGAAAGACCAGATGGTAGAAGATCGACAGGAAGGCCTAGAAAAAGGTGGAAAGACGCAGTCAGGGAAGACCTGTAAGGCCATGGGAAATAATAGCACAGGATCGGAATCAATGGAAGGCAATAGTAAACGCGGCAAAAACTCACGAAGAGTTGTAAAAGCCAATGATGATGATGATGATGATTTGGCACAAGAGATGCACTTTATAGCTTAACTGTGCTACTTTAGAAATGCATAGATCACTAAAAAATGTCTTCCTATGCTTTATAGATTACCAGAAAGCGTTCGATTATGTTAATCATTCAGAATTAGTAAGATTGCTCCAGGAACGTTCGATAGATGAGAATGACCTTAAAATCATAAAGAACCTTTATATGAATCAAGTGGCATCTGTGAAAGTAGGACTGGAATCTACACCATATTTCTCAATCGAAAAAGGTTGTGTCGAACGACAGGGTTGTGTTAAGCGACAGCCTTAAATGACACTGAAGACGGAATCAAAATCAATGGACAGATTATTAGTAATCTTCGCTATGCTGATGATACAGTCATAATAGCTGATAGCCAACAAGCGCTACAACCACTAATAGATAGAATAAACACTAAAGGAGAACGACTGAGCTTGAAGATTAATATAGACAAGACGAAGGTAATGGTGGTTAGTAGAATACGAAATATGCTATTAAATATAAGAGTTAACAATGAGAACATCCAAAAGGTCCCCAAGTTCAGATATCTTGGTAGTTGAATAACTGAAGATTTAGATCCAGACATAGAGATGCGTAGCAGGATTGAGCAAGCCAGAACAGCATTTACTAATATGAGACCCTTGCTAAGCAAACAGCAGTCTTAACTTAACGCTTCGATATCGCTTTGTAAAATGTTATATTTACTCCATACTTCTATATGGTGTAGAAACCTGGACCATAAAGGCCAATGTGATGAACCGATTGGAGGCCTTTGAAATGTGGTTATTTAGAAGACTACTTAAAATTCCCTGGACAGATCACACAACAAATGGCAAATTATTAAATCGAATGGGCAGAGAACAAGAATTGCTGACAATATTAAAAAGAAGAAAAACTGCTTATCTGGGTCATATATTTCGAAATTCCAAGTAATAATTCTTAAAGCTTATTATGAAAGGGAAGATAGAAAGAAAACGGGGCATCGGAAGAAAGAAATACTCATGGCTTAAAAACATAAGGGATTGTCCATGCACTCTTTAGAGCCACACAAGATCGAGAGGAGTATGCCAGAATTGTCGCCAACATCCACTAATTGGATAGGGCACCATAAGAAGAAGGTAAAATTTATTTACTAAGACCAATGAGAATAATAATTTAATATTTATTTAAAAAAATCACTTTAAATATTCAAAATACATCCAAAAGTTCACGTACTCACAATCATGTGTATATTATTAATTAATATGAAAATAAAATAGTGAGCAAGTAATTTAGTAGGTTCTGCAATTCCTGTAACTTTTAACCGAAACAATTAAAGTTGTTTAATAAATAAAACATACATGCCCTTTCACAGATTCTCCCTATACGTACACATAAATTTAACATCCTTTGGATCAACCACTTTCCTAAAATTTTCCTTTTAAATAGAAAACTTGCTATTTGTTCTTTAATAATATGTAAATAAAGTATCAAATTGATATTATCTCTCAAGCTGTTGATCAGTCTCGGATTCAATGTGACTTTCTCCAAGAAAAATTTTTGAATGTTTTATTTTATTTATGCTCATATTTAAGCTTTGGTTTATAAACTGGATGTCGATATCATCTAAAGGGAGAGATCGAAGACTGGGAGCGTAAGGAATACTTTTGTTCGAAAATTCATCTAGGACTGCTATTCTCCCACATTTTGCTGGACGGCTAGCCCTAAACGAAAAAATAGTATGTCTTACTTAAATGTTTAATGAAATAATTTATATTTAAAATAATAAACAGTGATTATTATAGTTGAATCGCATTAAAAAAGTATAAATCAAAAATAAATCGATCCTTTAATGTTTTGCGGTAAGTTTTTTTTTCTGGTAATTAGATTAAGGCGGCCAATTGTAACTCTGAACATTGCCCCTCATTAAGACATGGTTCCTACTAGAACCTGTTCGGGACTCGAACTAAATACTGATACAACTCAACCCTCATTTACAACTCCCACTAAAAGTAGCAAGGATGTGGATAGTAACAGACTAGTACCTGGACTTTGACACCATCTTTTGGAAAACCCTCCAATTTAATTGGTCGCATTCTAGCTTTGGCATGGCTAATTTTTGCACTTTAGACTCTATCCAATATCGAATATACACAAAAGCTACCACAGAACAAGAATACGCAACGACAGAAACGAATACATAGAGTCAGAAGAGGAGGTAGCAATGGCGTGGAAAGAATACGCAGAAACACTTTAATGACAAAAGACCAACACAACCAACGCGCAAACTTCCTTCCGAAAACTTATCAGGGCCATCAATAATGCAAAGTGAAATAGAATATGCAGTTAGAACCACAAAGATGCATAAAACAACAGGTCCAGATGAAATTAATATAGAAGCAATAAAACTACTAGACGAGGAGAATATCGAAATCTTGGTAAGGCTGTTCAATAGAATTTATGATACTGGTTACATTCCGCGAGAATGGCTGCAGTCATCCTTTGTGATGATCCCAAAAACAGCTAATGCCACAAAATGCAGTGAACACCGCTTAATCAGTTTAATGAGTCACTTGCTGAAACTCTTCCTTAGGATATTACACTCAAGAATGTACAAGATACTAGAAGAACTTAGCGGGTCAACACAATTCGGTTTTAAGGGAGGACTAGGAACAAGAGAGGCAATTTTATGTTTGAACACCTTAATACAAAACTGCTTAGATCAACGAAAAGATGTCTACCTCACCTTCATCGAATACGAGAAGGCATTTGACAATGTTAAACATGATATCATGATGGAACTACCACATAGGACCAACATTGACCAGAAGGAGATCATAATTATTCAGAATCTATACTGGAACCAAATGGCAAAGGTGAGGATTGATCAAGACCAATATACGGATGAATTTGAAATCCGGAAAGGTGTCCGCCAAGGCTGCATACTCTCTCTGATGCTTTTTAATTTATATGTTGAAAATATATTTGCGGAAGCATTAGAAAACACGGAATTAGGCATTAAGGTGAACTGCATACCAATTAGCAACCTACGCTATGCGGACGACACAGTGATTATAACTGATAATTTAGAAGATCAGCAGTTATTACTTGATAGGGTGAATAGCATAGGTAAAAAATATGGCTTTAAAATCAACATTTTGAAAACGAAATATATGGTCATTAGCAGAAACCCTCCAGAAAAACCGATAATATGCATAGGTGACGATCGTATAAAACGCGTGAAAACTTTTAAATACCTTGGCACCACAATCAATGACCAATCGGATCCACAACACGAGATAAAAACCCGAATACGAATGGCAAGACAAGCTTTTGTGAAATTCAGACCGCTCCTATGTAATCAAAACCTAAATTTCGAAATACGCTACAGAATGGTCAAGTGCTACATATGGTCCATCTTGCTTTATGGCATGGAAACGTGGACTTTGAAAAAAACATTTATCAACAAACTTAAAGCATTTTAAATGTGGTCATTGAGAAGAATGATGCGCATACCTTGGGTGGATAGAGTTCGAAACGATGACGTCCTTAAGAGAGCCGGCGTGGAGAGAGAACTCTTTGAATTAATTAAAAAACGCAAGATTGGTTACCTTGGGCACATATTGAGAGGAGCAAAATATGAAATACCACAGTTAATCCTACAAGAGAAGATCGAAGGTAGGTGAGGAGCCGGCCGCAAACAATTATCCTGGTTAAGGAATATTAAAGAATGGACAGGAATACACAATACAGGCGAGCTGTGTCACGCCGCCAAGAACAGAATTCTAGTAATGAGATAGTCCCCTACGCACTTTGGTGTATGGCATGTTAAGAAGAAGAAGGACTCTAGCACGTGCTCCTTCAATCGAAGTAATGTTTCCTGTACATCCTGGTAGGTGGATTGGTCGTGCGCAGTGTGTTTTGTTACCATATAGAAAAGGTAACGTGATACATCTTGGAGTTTCAAAGCTTTTCCGATTGCTGGTAGTTGGCATTGAAGTTTTGCAACTCGGCCAAACTTCGTTCGAAAGATGGATGCCAATCCTTGTGCGTCTTTATTACTGGCCGGAATGGTGTGGATCAGTGGGTAATTATCTGGAAGTGCGAGTAGATCTTTCTTTTTTTCAGTGATAATACCATGTCTTGCTGTACCGGTGCCTAAACATGCCACCCTAGGGTGCTTATATGAACTTCGTGCGTGTCCCATTTCACCATAATTCCGGTACCTTATGGTCTTTGTTTTCTTGTACGTAATTCCTTTTATCAGATTAACAAGCTGGTCAAATTTGTGTTTACCTTCCTCTTTTACACTCTTAACTTTACTATTTAAGGGCGGCAGACAAAACATCTACAAGCTACAATTGCCATTTGGATCGCCAACCTTCGAAAGGAGACAGCGCAAAAAGAGGAAGAAGAAGACAAAACATCGACCGTTTGTACAGGTAAAACACATTGGTTATAAACCTTTCGCTTGAGACACATGGGAATTGAACTTTTTAGAATATGGCTTAATTTGCCAAATGCTGCCCATCATCTGCAAATCTCAGGTGATTTAATATTTCTCCATCTATACTGATGCCAATATCTTGTAATTGAGTGCTCTTAAATATTGACTCTATCATCTTGCCATTGAGTCAATATTTAAGTCTCTTCTTAAATTGCTTGAAATCATCTGTCTCTTCTACAGCTATGTTCTGAAGCACATCAAAGGCAAATCCTCGAAGAAGAATAGTCAGGTTTACGGCCTTTTCTTTTTTGAACCATCCATTCGTTCTTGCAGCTGATTCGAACTGTAGCTCCAGCTTACATTTCGTCTCCTCGTCTATTGTCTCTTCTGAAATTGTGTAATTGATCCAATTCCTCTGACTGCTTTCCTTGTTTCCTCCATCTTCTTTTCAATATCTTTTATTTTTCTTCAAAAGTCAAAATATTGTCAGCAACTTTGTTTTCCAATGAAGACATTTTATCGCCAAGAGAAAAAGTCTCAGAAGTGATCTTAGAGATTTCCAAAGAAATGTTATCAGAAATTTTGCCTTCCAGAGAAGAAATATCGTTAGAAACTATATTTTATAAAGAAGCAATCTAGAATCTTGGGAAATTATAGAAGAAACTTTTGAAACACCACAAGTAGCTTTACTTTCCAAATATGTGATATCACCAGAAACTTTGGCAACTTCGGAAGAAACTTTCGAAATCAACGAAACGACATCAGCATTCTTGTCCTCAAATACATACGTTTCTGGATTAAAAACTTTTTCTTCTAGGACGTTCTTCAGCCGTTGTACTAATTCAGACTTTTTCCTGAAAGAATTTAATTCTCTATCTTCCGATTCTCGTCGTAAAGCTGTCACTTTTAAATCTTCAATTCTCGTATCCATTTTTCATAGTATTTATTTAAATATCCTACTTATGGCATCAATGTAATGTTTATTTTAATATATTTAAAATCTTCTAACACTAAAATATGATGAATTTATAATGTTTATTTATTTGACAGTACAAAAATATTTTTTATACTTAGCTCCATAAGTTCTAATCTCCCTTATATACAATCGTCTCACTCTTCAAAACGATTCCAGAACCCAGTGGAATTTTAACGACGTCAGGGCAACGGTTGCTTCTCAGAACGTCGCGAAGGTTCGATCAGAAGCGTAGCAAGGGCTGTCGTAATAGTTTAAATACAGTACGAAACGAGAAAATTCTTATCAGAATAGACAAAAAAGTTGTAGTTTTGCTTCTTATACAACAACGAAAGCTGGCTTATTTTGGCCACATTTTAAATACGAACTGATAAAATTCTTTATACATTAAAATATGAGTAAAAGAGAGATCTCCGTCAATTGTATGACACTTTCAAATAGCAGTAGATATCGGTCGAATTGAGTTAATGTTAGCCTACTTATGATGAGAACGCAGTTTTTAAAGAAGAATAAGTTAAATTTGTGTACAAATAAGTATTTGTGTCAAAAGTGTCCGAGTCAATCAATGTATTAGTTTATACAATGTTTTTAACTCTATACTTCATCTAATTTACTTGTGAGGTCACATGATATCAACACGAAATATTTAGGCGGTAGGTGTGTAGTTTTTTAGAAACACTTTGCCGAGTACACTGGCATTACAGCCACTAGACATATTTATTATATACGCGTAGAAATAGTATTTAAAGGTTTCTATTATTGTTAACTTAAAGAAATACACAATAATATGTTTCATTTAATTTGTATAAATGCATTATAAAACGTTTTTATGAAGAACATTTGTTCGGAACACACTGTAACTGTAATCGAAAGAAGGTGATATTTTGGCATACATTGGTAACACTTATTTGACAGAATTTTAAAGTGAATACCTCTTGTTTTATATTTTTACCTATTTAATAAAATCTGTTCTTTTTAGAACAAAATTAGTGTGTTTTATTTCAAAAATGTCACGTAATAATTTAAATAGTCGTTGTCAAGAGATGGTAATACTTTTGCAATAATTATGTGACCTATTTGATTTAAAATGGAGTCAGGAATTTTTTATACTTTGGCAACTATGTCAACTTCGATCTCTGTCAATGATAATGATGTGCAACGGTAAGTAATTCCAGAATTTTTAATTAATAGTATTGTAACAACTAAATACCTGAGTAAATTGTGAACTCCAATATCATTTAACCTTGCTTGAACTTCTTCACTAGGATGTTGCATATCTGTAGTATACAATTTTGTTTTGATATTATCTAGGTCGATTTCCATGGATGAACAAATTTTTGTGCGGAATATTGGAATTACTTTCTCAGCTACCTTAAAGAAAGTTATATTTTAAGAACATGATCAATAAGCATCTCTTTATCATGAGATTCAAATACGAGAGCTGACGGAAAGCCAGATATGGAACCCGAAACGTCGAACTAGTTTTGCTACGGTAATGTTTCCCGGGATCGACAACATTTGGGATATAATTGCATTCAGAAATTTATGTAAAGCATCACGCAAGTTCCCTTTGTGTACCCATAATTAAAACTAATCTAACATGATCATCGAAAATCCCCCTTTTTATTGGATTGATTTTATGTATTTATTTGCATTTGCACCTTTTATTCCGCGTGTATTGAATTATTACTTTTGTAGTTACTAATTACTAATGTAGTTAAATTATCAGCTTACTATTGAAAGCGATAAGTTTATTATTTAAATATAAAATATATAAAAGCTTCTTACCTTAGAATTTGACTGGTTTACAGATATTTTTGATTTTTCAACGCTTGTTTGTGAATCAGTAAGTATATCGTCAATATTTATAACTGGTTTTGATTTGACCCCTTTTGGTTTCACGGATAATGAGATTATTAGGTCTTGATTACACTACAATCATTAAAATGAAATTAATAATTGCAAAAATAGGTGGCGAATCAGATACAATTATGAAATATATTAAATGCATATATTATAAAAAGCCCCCTTTATCTCTGTATGTCCGCTGGACAGGACATGTATTTAGGATGGAAGAAAACAGACTGTTGAATGCAAGAATGCAGAGAAAAAGACGTATTGGAAGATTAAAAGTGGGAGGGTGATGTGGACGAGAACGCTAAAAATCTCCTTTGCACTCGATTGTGGAGGAGAATGATTACTGACCGTAACGGATGAAGAGATTTGTTAATGTATATGTAAAAAAGATTTTCCGAGAAGCTGTGGAAGATAGAACAAAAGGTATAATTGTTAACGGAGTAATAGGTTTAAAAGTTATTACAAAAAAAAACGAAATAAATGGTATATTCAAAAATAATAATATAGCTAATAATATAATTGATGTAAGTATTGACGGAGAAATAGCGGAGACTCTACAGTCGTTCAAATATTTGAAACGAATAAAAAGTGGTAAAAATTCGTGTCAATGGAATGGAATAAAAATACTGAAGTTCTTAAATAAAAGTCTCTTAAATAAAAAATATATCCTACATAAAGGATACTCCTCCGCAGTCATCCTGATATTTAAGAAAAGGGATAAAACCATTGAGACCATCTGACGGTTTCCAAAACGATAATTTGAGAGCTGGATAGCGGAGTCCTAATAATTTTTCTACTTCTTTTTGTCTAGAGATAACTCTGTCTGTTTTTCAATGTGTCTCTGTTTTTCATTCCATTCTACGCTTCTCTATCTTTCCCAGTCCTTGATGTTCTCTACTTTTCATCCAGGAAATATATGGAATAAAAATACTGAATTTCTGCTCTTCTGGTCTGCCCACTGATCGTTTACCTATTGGGAAAGCGTCTTTCTCCTTCTTTATTACTGCGTTTTCCATTCCATTCTACTATTCTCTTTCTTTCTTAGTCCTTGATGTTCTCTAATTTTCATCTTCGTCGTATATCTGTACTTCTAGCACATAGTGTCTTACCATTAATTTTTCTAAGGGTTTTCATCTCTGTTGTTTCTAACATTCTTGTTGTTCTCTCTGTCTCGGGTCGTGTTACTGCCACGTATCTGATTATTGGTCTGATGACTGTTTTGTAAATTTTACCTTTCATTTCTTTCTTGATATTTTTATTTCTCCATATTGTTTTATTCAGGCAACCTGCGGCTCTATTTGCTCTATTTGCTTGATTTCCACTTCTGTTTAGAGCTTTCTATAGCTAGAAAGTGTGATGCCTAGATATTTATTTAAACTGCATCACTTGTTCTATTATCTGACCCTACAGAACCTAACCATGTATTTTTGGGGAAATTAAAATTAAATTTTCTGGCAGTTAAATTAAATTGGTGCAGCATACGTTGTAAATCATCTTCACGTTGAGGGATTAATATTGCGTCGTTTGCATAGCAGATTATTTTAAGTAGTCTTTCTTCCATTCGGTGTTATTTTTCTCTCTTACTTTTTTATTATTTCATCCATGATCAGGTCAGTGACAGATCTGGAGGGAACTTCCAATGAAACATCGACCAAAAGTTATAAAAAGATGAACCTACACGACGTACAAAGGACATAAACAATAGATTTTCTGTAATTCCGAACCTTCCCTATTTTTTCCTCTCGTGTGTCCACTCCGGGATCAAGTTAAATAATAGACGGCTCAGAAAATCCCCCAGTCTTATTCCATTGCTAGCTTTAATTGGATCAGTTAGTTCTTTTTCTACTTATACTTTTATTGTGTTGTTCTGGTAGATATTTTTGATCGTTCTGATTATCCGTGATAGTATCTCTCTTGCCTACAAAAAGTGGATAACGTTCTTTAGTTAAACCTGTCAAATGCCTTCTTGAGGTTCTTCTTCTTGTGCCGTCTTCTAACGAAGGTTGGCGATCACTTCTTTAAACGCTTCTCGATCTTTTGCAACGTGAAATATCTGTTCAACACTGAGGTTAGTCCAATCTCTGATATTCCTCAGCCAAGATTTCTTCTTTCTTCCCAAGCCTTTTCTTCCCTCTACTCTACCTTGCATGATGACATGACATGAGAGTATTTATCGTTTCGGAGTATGTGGCCCAGATACGATGTTTTTCTTATTTTAATTGTGTTCATAAGCTTTCTGTCATGTTTAACTCGTCTTAACACTTCCTCATTTGAAACTTTTGCAGTCCAAGGAATCTTCAAAATACGCCTATATAGCCACATTTCGAATGCCTCCAATTTTTTTATAGATTGGGCTTTCAGAGTCCAAGCTTCTACCCCATATAGTAGTTGCGACCAAACATGAAATTCGAAGAACCTCAATCTGATGGCCATACTCAATTTCTTATTTATAAACATTGACTTGTATTTTATAAAGCCTTTTCGAGCTATTTCTATTCTGACCCTTATCTCCTGCTTTTGATCGAACTGTGTGTTTATAATTGCTCCGAGGTATTTATATTTGTCGATTCTCTCTAGGGGTTTACCCTCTAATGTCAGTTGTATGTTGTCAACAGGGTTTTTGAGATCACCATGTATTTGGTTTTATTTATATTCACTGTTAGTCCCATCTTTTTGCTTTCTCTGTTAATAATTTTCAGGAGAGTTTGTAAATCGTCTATATTCTCTGCCATGATTGTGGTATCGTCTGCAAATCTTATGTTATTAATGATGCTCTCTCCAATCCTTACACCTTCAGTTCTTTTCCATAGTACCTCCTGAAATATTAGTTGGGAGTACACATCAAATAATTGTGGCGACAGCACACATCCCTGTCTGACTCCTCTTTGAATTTCCACCTGGTTTGTCTCACTATGTTCCACCCGTACGACCGCTGTTTGATTGTAGTACAGATTTTTGATTAAATTAATATCCTTGGGATCTAGGTGTATGTGTTTCAATGCATGTATGAGTTTACCATGTTGGACTCTTAAGGTTACGAAACATAAATATCCCGGTTTATTGTATTCTAATGATTTCTCAAATTTCTCTCCTTAATGATAAGGATGAAGTGAAGATAGAACATTTTTACATGAAATTAGACACAATTTTAAGATCTATTAAAAAAGAAGACATTACAATAGTAATGGGAGACTTTAATGCCAAAGTCGGGAGAGGGAAAGTTGACGAATATGTTAAGAAATTTGGACGAATATGTTAAAAAAGATGACAGTAACGAAAGAAGGGATAGACTCGTGGATTTTTGTCGAAATGAACATTTTGGAATAATGAACACAATATTCCAACTACCCGACAGAAGATTATAAACTTGTAGATCACCTGCAGACAACAAAGACCGCATAGTCAGAAATCAAATTGACTATATATTAGTTAAAAATAGATAAAAAAAAACTCAATTAAATCAGTTAAAGCATACCCGGAGCAGATGTCAACTCAGGCCATAACCCGCCGATAGCTAGAATGCACGTGAAACTCAAAAATATTATAATAAATAAATCAAATAATAAATCAAACTTTCAAAAGCAATCAAAAACAACCGCTGTCTTCATCGATCTATCTGCTGCTTATGACACTGTGTGGCGACAAGGTACAATATATAAATTAATGCGAATAATCCCATGCAGAAAGACCACTGAGGTTATTAACGCCATGCTATCCAACAGATGCTTTAAAGTTATATTGGGAGATAAGACTAGTACCCAAAGAAAACTGAATAATGGACTTCCACAAGAATCCGTGCTCGCTCCCATGCTTTTCAGCCTCTACATAGCAGGCATGCCAGAAACCACATCAAAAAAGTTTGGATACGCAGACGACTAGACGCTTGCTGCAAGTCATAAAGAATTCGATGTCACTGAACGCATTCTAACAAACGATTTAAATGCCCTAGGGAATTATTTCCGCAAATGGAGATTGCAACCCAATCCAACTAAGACAGAAGTGTCCTGCTTCCATTTGTACAACAAGATGGCCAACTATCAATTTCAAATCCATTTTAAGGATAGACTCTTTAAATATAATAAACACCCAAAATACTTAGGTGTTACACTTGACAGAACGCTGAACTTTAAAGAGCATCTTACTAAGACTGCTGCAAAACTCCGAACTCGTAACAACATCCTGTAAAAGCTCTGCGGCACTACATGGGGCTCCTCAGCACCCACACTTAGATCGACAGCATTAGGACTGGTATACCCCGTAGCGGAATACTGTGCACCAGTATGGATAAACAGTCCACATACTCACCGTGTTGATGTCCAACTCAACCAAGCCATGCGAACTATATCGGGCACAATCAAGACCACGCCCACTTACTGGTTACCAGCTTTGAGTCATATAGCTCCACCACCCATCCGCCGGGAACATGCCCTTGTCAGAGAATTTACAAAAATCAATATCCGCTCCCATGTCGGAACTTCCGCCAGAGACATAAATAAAGGCTCCGTTCAAGACACCCGCCTCTAAAAACAGCAAAAAGGCTAGTAGATTAAAACTTTAATGTAACTGATTGGTGGAGAGAACAATGGGAGAATAACGCTGCACCAGCTAACTGGAACATGTCATGTATTACAAGCAAACCTGAGGGCTTCAACCAACCGAGACGAATTTGGACCATACTCAATAGAATAAGGACGAACTGTGGCAGAAGTTCCGACTCACTTTTTAGATGGGGAAAAATACAATCACCAAATTGCGACTGCGGCGCCGAAAGGCAAACAGTAAAACACATGGTAGAGGAATGCCCGATTAGATCCTATAACGACAACCCTTCAGATTTCCTGGCTGCTAAAAAAGAGTCAATCGAATATATTTATAATCTAGATGTTTGTTTGTAGAATAATATTTTTGTATTTACTGTTGTTTGTAATTTATATAATTTATATTATATGTATATATATGAACCTGTGATGTAGCCATACGCTAAATAAATAAATAAATCAAAAATATTGTAATACCTTAAAAAAATCAACGTTTGATTATACAAAATTAAGAAAAAGATAAATACATCAAAAAGT